AAGAGAAAGAAAGATTTTTCAAAATGCAAAGAAGTAAAACACGGCGCTTTGATTAAATGAGCACGGAAGAAGTATTTTAGCATCCTCAGGCATAGGAAGCTTATTCAAAGGAGAAAGATACTGAGATTATTCAGAATCAAGTGATGTACTTAAAAGTGTAAGTTAGTTTGCAGGGGAGTTGTTGATATTTAAAAGCTATATATTACAGACGTTTATCATATTTTGCAGAGCACACAAACATTTAATCAAAAAAATCTACATTAATATTACATTATTTAATAGACATTTAGCAGACTTAAGGGGATTCATACACCTTAAAAACCATAAGATCTTCGAATATGTGACTGTTGCAAGAATTGGGATAACTTACTTATTTTAAAAGCAATCACTTTTAACATTTTACAGCTGACTACATAATATAGCTGCTTTCTGAAATAATAATTAGAAAGTTTGTGTTGCCACAAATATTTTTGTAATTTAATCCGCTTTGTGACAAAATGTTTCGTCATGGTTCCACCTTGGGCGCAAAGTTTAAAACATTCTTTTGCATAATTTAATTCCATATTTAATATATAGCTTTTATAATGTTTGGAACCTACTGTGAACCAAAAATTCTAAGAATTTCATGTTCAATTTTCTTTTATTTGAAGTTGAGTTTATAAAATGCATTTTATTAAAAAAAATCTGTAATGTTTTCGTGCATAAATTTTTTTAATATTAAAATATTCATCAGATTTTTGATTCAGTTAGAAAATAGTGTCCATATAAAGAATTCCACCAGATTTCAAGTATGTACCATTTAGGCATTTTTAAAATATCATGCGCGCAAGGTGGAAACATGACGAAAAATTTTGCCCCAAAGCCGATTAAATTACAAAAATATTTGTGGCAACACAAACTTTCTGGTTACTAGTTCCCAAAACAACTATGTTATGTAATCAGCTGTAGAATGTTAGAAGTAATTGCTTTTAAAATAAATAAAATATCCCAATTCTTGCAACAGTCACATATTCGAAGATCATAAGGAGTTTAAGGTGTATGAGCCCCCTTTATAGCACGTATATTATTCACGAGATGGGGAGGAGGAAAATCATTCATTCTGGTACTTATTTTTAAGTATCATAGCAACTTATTTTAAAATGTACACACAATATACACATTTTCTTAACCAAGGAAAATAAAAACTTAAATCATTCCCTTTAGAAAAATATGAAAGACGGAAATTTATATTTTAAGGTGGAAAAAAGCTTTTTTAAAAAAGAAGAACGTAAATCTGTGTAACAGATACAGTTTAAGATCTTGATTGGGATCTGAAAGTGAAGTTTGCACGCATCATGAATTGTTAATTATTTCGGATGCTTTCATTCACAAATTAAATAAATAACAATCATATTTCCCATGTCTTTGATGGTAATTAGGCACATATTACATACTTTCAGATATAAATATTCAATTATTGTCTTTTCAGCTTTTTTACATGTTACAGATGAATCACTCTAAAAGGCTTTTGAAATTTTAAAAAAAAAAGTGATTGAATTTAACATAAATCGCTAAAAGGCTCTTGTAATATAAAAAAAGTGATTGAATTTATAAAAAAAGTTCCCCTTTATTTCTAAAAAAATGTAGAGGGAGTCAAAAAATACAAGTTCATTAGCATTTCTTCTAAAATGTACTAAACCTCATACAAATATTAATACCTATTCCCGCCAGCCCTAGGGTAGAATAATACTTAACATCCTCAAAAAGTGCAGATATTTTTGTGCACTGTACAAATAATGAAGGTAAAAGGATTGGTTCAAACTTTACATTATTAAGAATTCACATTTTTAAAGAGTTATTTAAATGTATCACCTGAACGGCATTCAATTTATAAAAAGATATATTTGATTCCACCTCAGCATAAGCATTACATTACCCAATTACAGAATCAAATTGATATTTGATTCTTATTTTTATGACCTTCAAATGTCAGTTTGCAATCACGGTAGATTCCAACAAATATTTTGATACTACCTCTGTTAAGCTGGAGGATAAAAATGGATGCAGAAAAGACAAGCCAATAATGAGTGAAAAAACTCTTTATTTAGAGAATAAAGAATTTACGTATTTTAAAATCTAGAATAGATGTACACTTTCATTTTCACAACAAGTCCTCAAAATTGACCAATCAACGTAAAGCAGACTTCACAACGGCGATGCACTGACTGTTGAACTCTTTCAAAAATATCCTGCACGTTGCGGACTTTTGCAGATACTTGCGGCGAGATTCGCGTTACCGTCAATACACGTCTCGTAGACCACGGCTTTCAGGGTCCTTCACAAGAACAAATCCAGGCTAGAAAAATCGGGGATTGTGGAGACCATGAGACGGGTTCTGCACGTCCAATTCACTGATGCGCAAACGTATTGTTCAAGTAATCTAGTACGACACGGCAAAATGAGCTGCAACCATATCATGCTAGAGCCATCACCCTAGAGTCATCACATTGCACTCCAAACAGAACATTGCTGAGTAATAGTGGCAGTAACTCCTCCAGAAAAATGCGATATTTTCGACCCTCCAGTATTTCAACCATGCAAATAATACTCACCCATACATTCACGGAAAACCGTCATTGGGCAGCATGTAGCTGCATACTTCATGGGCTGCTGTGGCTCCATACATGAGCATTGGGTTGACTGAAGATCCTTTCATGACAGAAAATGGCTTCATCCGAGAAGAGAATGCAAGATGAAAATGACGGATTCTGGTTGCATTTGTCTAGGTACCAGCAATTCCACTCGTCGATGACAATCCTCAGTCTGCAATGACCCGCTGCAACTGGTATGGATGTAAACTCTCCCTGCATAATGTGTGTCATACATGGGATAGAGATGCTACAATATCACGGGCAATGGTTCGAATGCTTCTTCTAGGAACTTCTTCCACTCAACGCAATATCTCGTCTTCTTTCGTGGCCATCCTATGCTATGCTTGCTCTTACAGAATGACCCGTATTCAAACAAGTTACTGTGCAAATTCCTTAACATTCGGTAATTAGGTGCACGTCTATTCAGATACCGTTCGGCATACGACCATGCCACAGCCCTTCCGTTACAGTGAACTTCACCATATACAATGTGCATATCCGCCATACCCGTGTTCGTAAACTGTTCCCCACTCTCCGTACGCTATCAAAACTTTAAATGGATAAAGCTGCATTCCAGCTACAGCGAACAGCACCCTTAAGCAGATAACCAGTGCCCCCACACTTTCAAAACTGTAGGTGGTAAGAACCAGGCAATTAGCCAGAAACTTTTCATTACTGAGCAATTTCATTACTGAGAATGTCATGATCTATTTTGAGCTTCTGATCTTTAAATAATTTGAGATCACAATGTATTCATAATTTTCTCCTCTGGGGGTGGCTGTCCACGAGTTTCTTGCGACAGCCCCCAAATACCCTATCTCTTTAGGACTACATTTTTAATCGTTAGGATGACATTTGCTATGGGATTTTAAGTCATTTGGATATATGCTACTTCTCCTAGAAATTTGATTCTCTAGTTTTGATTCAAACTGTACAAAATAAAAGGTGTCTGACCACTTTGATGAGGAAAAGAAGCAAAATCAATATATCTAATATTTTTATATACTTTCAGACTCTACCTGGCCACCGAATTCATATTCTGTTAGACAGAATGGTCATGTCTGACTGTTTTTATTGTCCTATCAAGGTCTAATATACTTTTTATTATTTTTAATTCGCTGAAATCTCTTTCATGGCAATGTTACAACAAGCAATGTTAAAAGTATTTTTAACACTGTTTCCAAATTCACATACGATTAAGATAAACTGTATATATGAATTATTTTTAAATGATCTCAGGTTATAGATGGTTTAATACCTGAAATTAGTGAAGAAAGCGTGTGTTCAAAAACTAGTTATATTTCTTATTCAGTTTCTGCAGCATTTATATGACAAACGGCCAACCCGTGACACAGCGGAGTTTTAATAGAGGCATTCGAAGGCATATTGAAATATTAGAAGATTTGATAAAATATATATATATATATTGTCTGTATCAGCGCCCGCCGTCGATAGATAAACACGTTAGAATAAATATAATAGTTTAATTTTTCTGCAAGATGTTAATTGCTACCCAACTGAAATCCAAATCGAAATTATTGACCTACAGCAGCATACTACACTGAAAAGCAAATGTAAGGAACTTATTTCAGTTGAAGTGATCCAAATTATAAATTTTGGAAATTTGTATCAACAAGAAATCTAATTGCATTTGAAATGATTTATTAACAGTTACTATATAATTATAATTACTTTAGTAATGAGTATGATTCTTTTAGAATGACATCGAAAAAGAAGTGGGTATTACCTATAAACAAAAATTTTGTGTTTGTCTTTCGTCATTCTAAATATATTCAGCGAAGCAAGGTGAAATACCTAAGATGAAAATTTTTTAAGTATAATATTCTATATATTGCTGTTTTCTACCTTTCTACCGATTATATACAATTACGTAATTCCAAATTCGTATAACAAAGCTAATTTATAATAATGCTCAAATAAGATGCATCCTCTTAAATAACTACAAAAGTTACACTCTAAAACTGATAATTTTAATCTATTATATATATCGGGGGAGAGGGGAGGAATCTTGCATAAATTTTCTCTCATGCCTTTACTCAAAGTATAATAATAAACGTAGATTTATTATGATAGCTGATAATCAGATAACTTTTGATTCTCGTGGAAGATTTAATAGACATAATTAATGCCGTAATAAATTCTGAAAAAATTTAACCTGTGTATTGTCTTTATTAAGACGTAGTGGAGCATAAAATACACTTAAGGGTTTAGTAAGACTTAACGCGCAAGCCGAGACAGATTTTGGTCATGACATTAACGGTGCGGGCCGGTTTTTAATCGTTTTTTTATTTCGGATTTTATTTTTCTATCCTCTTTCATATTTTTTTAATCTATTTTATCCTCTTTTAGCTGTCACCGTGTTGAGGGGATCTTTTGTTATGTTTCCACCCGAGCAGCTTGATGGCCACGCCCCTGAAATATGACGTCACACCATCATATTGCTCACAGCGGGAATCGCAGAATACAACCTGAAATTCGTGTAAGTGAAATCAAGAAAAGGGAAGGCGGAACAAAATAAAATGTACCAAATAAAAAATAAATTAAAAAAAAAAAATTCTCGAAAAGATTACCTTGCGCAGGAACTTAACAGGCGTAGAGATTTATATTACCGGATATGTGTATTTGGAAAATGAGATTTCGTACACATGTACAGAAAGAGTTATGAAGTTAGAAGAGATACTCCAGATCTGTGTATGATTTATGCGTTACTCCTGGCAACGTCTTTTCTCACTGAGCTATTCGCAAACTAGTATCAATAATAGCGGCTGTTATAGAATCTATTCTAGTTCAAATCTCCTAATGAGATCCAGGTATTAAATTTTAACAGCTTTGGTGAAAGTGAAAACTTTACAGGATTCGAGGTTAGAGGTGAAATCTGAGAAATAATGAAACACATATTAAGAACTGAGAATAAAGTAAAATGTTTAATAAAGCAATTTTACAAACAGACTATTGAAAAGCAAGTTTGAAAATGATTGGCATATTCAGAAGTAACAGCATTGCCTCAAATATTCCGGGTCCAGTACTTCTAAATTTTTAAAACACATCATAATTCCAACTGGCGTGCATTGCAGCTCTAAGTAAGAGGAAATACGGCACTTCGTTACATGAAATTAAGCAAAAATTTAAGCAGAATATTCTTTAATCTCATAGCATTTCACTTTAACAATAAATAAGACGTGAAAACTGATACTACCTTCTGAATGCATGCCAGCATTTTTCGGAGAAGCGACACGATGGAATGAAAGTTGAGACATTTAAAGAAAGAAAGAACCTCTGCATCTAAAGAAAGAAAGAACACTATTTCGAAGAATCAAATAAACTGTTGCCTCCGCCCACATGTCAATATCTTACTATCCAGCGTTACAATATATTTGCGAATATCGCTCTAAAGTTGCACGGGGAATGATGATTTACGCCAATATAATGTTTTCATGTGCTGTTCAATGACGCATTATCTCGTTCATACACTAATATTAAATATCCTAAATATCATAATGTACTAATTATAATAGCATACTGAGCATCATAACACAATAAATTTACGAAATATATTTCGTATTTTTTTCAACAAAAACTTCTACAAGTACCCTAAACATTACTCTAAAACTATTTCCCTCTATTATACTGGAAAGCAACGTCTCTTGACTTAAAATAAATGGCTCTAGTGTAGAATTGGATGCCCCTTCGATTGGCGACAAATTTCGTTCAGTTTTGGTGATGAAACCCCATTTCTGGTAACCATGATAGTTTTAACTTGGTTTTAGCTTCCTGATTTTATTAAGTGAAAATAGGTCAGTGTGTGCATGGACAAAGTCAAAGCAGTCCGCAATGCTGAGTTTGTGCCATTCTCTGATTTTTTTTAAGTGAAAATAGCACATGTCGATGTGTACATTAATACCGAGTATGTGCAATTATTTGACTTCTTATTTTGGTTTTGTGCAGCGTCCATCTTGAAACTATGCCTTCCTGGCGACGATCTTGGCGTCAAAAGAGAATCGCCAAAAACCAAAGAGTACCCAATTGTAAACTTTTACCAAGTAAATTAACAAGAAAACGATCCATTTGAATCTAGGAAAGTATCTTCAGCAGTAGTTGTAGCTCGAATCATCATTATTGAAGTTAAATATTTTTAGATGTTGTCTCATAGCACTGCATGAAGCATAAGCGATATATTTTTAGGGCTCGAAATAGTACAGGAAAACAAAATAAAAATCAGATTTATTTACACCCTGCTATATATACGGATATAGTATATATTTGTGTGCATGTGTATACATATATGCATCTGCATATGAAATTGTGTGTCTGTATGCAGAATAATTCAACTTTAATTAAGTACTAAAACTTTATTATGTGATAAACTATTTTTACCTTAATATGCTTAATTTTTGTTTTTTTTAATTTCGTGTGCACTCATTAAGATCAATAAATTATGAATTGGAAACATAATGATGAAACAAGACTATAACAAAAGAATTTTTTATGTAATGAAAAAACAGTATTGCCATAAAATTAAAAAGCTACTTAAAGAGAAATGCTTCAGAGATTTTAACACGAAATGTTTGCGAGCTAGTGCTTTTTAAATAGTGGACACAGTGCTTAAGTTAGTGACAAATTATAGATTCAATAATTGCACACGAAACTTGCAAAATATAAGCATGTGAGGAGCTCTGTTACGATTAACCCATCATTTTTAGGGTCAAGGATGCAGATGCATAGCATCCTCGTACAGTATGAAGGCATTTATAAATTAGAAAATGTTCGTAACATTGCGTGGACTTCATCAGATACGGAATGCAATCCTTCTTCTTGGAGTTTCTCTATCTTTCTTTCTCCAGCATAAGCTGCATATTCAAAAACATTTGTCTTTTTTCTCGCGAAAAGTACACGTTACCAATAAAAATAAAGTTACGATGCACTATTTTTCTATAAAAATTAAATTCTTATCACAGCTGTAAACTGAAAGGCACATGGGAAAGTAAGTGCAAAGACACGAAATTAAATTGTTAATTAATAACAATCCATCCTTTAACCTTCCAGCACGCGAGCTTGGCAATTTTACGTGAGCACGCACGCGTCGTATTTTTTACGACATCCGTTATTTTACCGTTTTTGGCACGAAAAACGACAGAAATGTGTGGATATTGATAATAAATTTGTTAAGAAATAAAATATTAATCTTATTATTGAAATACAAATGATACGATTCAATATAAGTAAAATATTTTAAGTCTTAATTAGTGGATGGAAATGAATGATGTACTTCATACAGAAAATTTTTAATTTATTATTAACACTTATATTTTAAAATCGAACTAATTTAATATTCATCAAGGCAAGTATAGACATAATAAAAAATAAAACACACTCACCTTGTAGGGAAACAGTAAGTTTTAGCATTACTTACTCTGCAAGAAAATTTACTTCTTACTGTTACAAACGCGCTTTAAACTAACATTAATATTTTTAGTTACTTCGAAATAGAAATAAAGAAAATAAGGAAAGGGAATTGCTATTTGTCTCCCATCCAAGGTTTCCTTGTTTCTTTCTCATCAGATAATTCGTGAAAGATGCGGCAAATAGCTGGTTGCACTATTTGTTTGCCATAAAACCGATATAAAATTGCAAGCAATGTATACAAATTAAATAATACACGGCAATTAATAACACAAAATTACAAAATATTTGAGAAAAAAATATTTTCCGAATTTTCACCCACGACCACGCGCGTGTCGTAACATTTACGGAAAAGCTGCCACGTAGCACAAAAGTCTAGTTAAAAAAATTCAAATGACTTCCTTTTGGCACATTCCATGATGTGGAGAAGGGTAGAAAGGAGGAATAGAAATGATCTTCAGACGTCTCAGCTTCGATATGCGAAAAATGTGCATTAAAAACAGAATATGTCGTAAATTTTGCGCATATGCGCGTGCTGGAAGGTTAGTTAGAATTAGTGGACAAAATACAAACACTACTGTCAATAGTTGTTATCTGATTTTGCATCTAACTCACCAATAACAAAACATACGTCTTTCTCTAAGAATATGGAATATTATCGATATACCAGTCGATCAATTTGCGTCTTGCGTTCTCAACCGCAAACTGATTCCTTAACACCCCCACTACCCAACAGCAGTAATTCTTGGTCTCTTTAACACTCTTAACACTCTTTAATTATGATATTAAAGTACAATCCAGTCACGAATGTTCGTGTACAAGTTTATTTCTCAAAAACCTTTGATTCATTTGCTTATTTTACTCTGAATGCCTGCTTTTTTACTAGTTTTATCTAAAGCAATTCCACTTAAAATTTCATACGTCAAAAGAAAATTTGAATGAAGTGATAGTTCAGTTTGTAATCTCTTAACTTTAATTTAAAACTAACTCCTTCTTATATATGCCATATGAGTCTACTTTAATGAACACAGGAACGCTGTTTACTTAATGTTACTGGCATAGTAATATCGTCTTTATGTAAGCTTTAAACTCGAATAAAGAAAAGAAAAATATTAAATCTTTTATATTCAGTCAAATGTGATGCAGTCGAATAGAGATATGCTGAACAATGTCTCTCATTTAAATTTTCGACTAAAATATAAAAAATGTCTCCAACAGACTCGGAAGTCGATTAAATGCAGTTATTTCAGGGCATAACTTTTTATCATGTTTTTCACTGAAAACACTTCTTGTAGTACAAAGTTGATTAATGTCCTGACTTTAATTTTGTCAGCTGAATAGTTTGGCTATACGAAACTTTCTTGATATTACCCAAGTGTAACGCAGAGTCATATTCACTTAGAAACACTTCCATGAAGGCCGGTAAGCCTCATACGCTTATTCGTAGTAAATTACCGAGGAGTATCATGGGATTTAACACGTCTAATACCTTATTTCTTAACAATAACGTGCATTTTTAAATGGTATCTCTAGAGGTATGTACATTAAAACGCATTTGTATTAATATTTTCGCAGAAGTTTTGCTGTCAAACTCGCATTTGCCTCCTTTCTGCTAACTCTTTGTAATACTGTCACAGTGTGCATACTAGAGCGATTTTCTTCTTTTTATTCCTGTGAATTACTCAAATTTAATTTACTATACGACAACTTAAAAATAATTTTTACCTTGCAAATTTTGTCTCATACAGAGTTGCCTGATTTTAAAACTTCGCCTTCTGGGAGGAATTTTTAAAGGAAATGGATTACCCTTTCTTTAAAATTGAGAAAGACCTCGTTAATGCTCAGCCAAAGAGTCCATTCCAAAGAATGAAATTAGTAGTTTTCAGCTCATTTCACAAATCAGCCAGTGTTGCTTTTAAACTGACAGGGACTGTATCAAGCAGAACGGGAAGGGAAAACGAACTTATATTTCAGTTTAATATTTAAAGCTAATGATAATTTAATATTAAACTAAATTTTCAAATTCAGCTGCCCTATATACGACTAAGGCTATGATAATTTGAATGCATCAGTTTCAAAGCCATTCATTACAAGGATATACTACATCCAGGTGACACGTTTAACAGCTATCATCCAGAATCTGAATAAATTCTCTTTGGCAAATGTGTAGTGTACACCAAATATCCAACAAAAATGTTTGATATATGCAACAAGACATCAACTATCTAACAAAAACGTTGGATATTTTGTCTTCTTTGAATAATCCTTTTTATTCTTAAGAAGCAACTAGATGTTCCACTCAGTTTAGAAACTTTAAAAAATCAGCTAAATGCATATAAATTAAGTTAGTTAAACTTCAATTAAATGCACATAAAATTTTAGATAACCTCTTAGTTAAATATGATTTGAATGCCTATAAATATTTTTAGATTCTAGTAATTAACGTACAAAAAGAAAAGAGAAAATCTTATTGACATCAACATTAATTCTTATAATGACTGAAGCTCACTCTTCTGATCTGTTCATTATATTAATTCTTGCAAGGAAAAGCCCATTTCATAATAAAACATTTTTTACTTTTCAATGCAATGTATATGGGCATTAAATGCATTTCTAAAGCACTTTCTACCTATGCGCATATATTACTTACTTTGCAGAAGATATTGCACAAATTTCAACTATTTGATTGAGCATTGCAGGTTTTGGTTTCTTGCCCTCTTTTCATCTATTTATTGTTGTTTTCTTTCCCTCTTCACATATGATAAAAATGATTTCTATGCTCTCGAACGAGAAATACCGCCTCAGCAAGGAGTATTATTTGGAAAATTAATCTATAACTTGGCCAAAAAAAGTCACAATTCAATTTCTCTTATGTTTCTGGGATGTAGGAACGCAATTGCGTAAACTCACTTATCTGAAAAAAAGATAGCACACTATCGTGTATCTAATATTCATATATATATATATATATATATTCCATCGAAGCAGTTCTGCTTCTGGTCTTTGTACTGTTGTTCAAATCAAAATACGATACATAAATCTATGTTGATAAGAACACGAAAATGAAGTAAGTTGATTCAGAAAGTTTAAATTTCATTGCTATTTAGTTGTAAAGTTTCCACATTTATCAGGTTTTAGATCAAGCTGAAAATTGAATTTAAACTTCAAATTATGAAGATAATTTCTTACAGAAATTGGCAATTTGAGTTTTAATTTTGGACCGGGATGGGAAAAAAAAAGAGCGATCGAATAAAACCTGAATGAAATTACAAAACTAAAATGATGCTTTTCCAGGTTCTGCAGCAAATCTTACATAGATTGTTTTTTTTTCTTTCTTTGAAATTCTAACATTCACAATTTGAATGAATTTCTATTAGATAATAAAAGGGAAGTTTAAAACCGAAATAATTATTCAATGTTAAACATTGTTTTTCTATGAATTGCTACTCATCTTTAGTTGAATTTTGGATTTAAAATGAGTTTTAAGAACTTTTGGGCCAGTTTCTGTTCTAGATTTCATTTCCAAAATTTAATAATTTTTCGAAGAACTCAAAAATTTTAAAACTTTGAACTTAAGAACGAGAAATTGATCAAACTGTGAATATATGTATAGTATACTAGTTTCAAAATCGTATTTTGAGAACCACGTTCTTAATAAATATAAAATAATAAAAAGAGCTATAAATATCATAATATAGTGTCACATACTAAAATTTATTATAAATCTCAATATATTTGGAATTTTTAATTTTTTCAGTTCCTAAATTCTAAGAATGTAATTTCCTTAATTAATGCAATATATACAAAGTGACTTCTAAACTCACAGTGTTTTATTCACACTATACAACTCACAAACAGTTTACTGTACCATTGCGAATTATATAAGCCAAAAGATGTGTTGGCTTGTGCTAATTTCCGTACCCTCCCCCTCCCAGCGCAAAAATCTTTTCTGTTTTTTTATTTTAATTTATTAATTTATTTTTTAAGTACTAGATTTACTATTAGTACTTACGTTTCGTTTATCGCCTGTCACCAAATTTTGGTAAGTATAGTTAAAAAAAAATTTAGTGATAAATGACATAACGGCAACACAAATAAAAAGTTATTGCCACCAAATGTTATCTCTATGTATTATGTTTACATAAATAATATTTATTTTTAAAGAAATAATATAGCGAATATAATAAAAGTATGGTAACACAAATAAAAGGACATTGCCAACCAATGTTATTGCCATATTCAAAGAAATAGTACAGCGAATATAAAAACTGCACGACAACATTTAATACGCTATCAGGAATTCTCAAGATATCCAATATAAAATATTTTTTACTTTCCCGTCACGTTTTGCAATATGACGAAGAATGAGACACTTAATTCTGATTTTAAATTTAATCTGTCAGTTATTGGTTTTATTAACAAACTAAGCGATTTAAAAGCAATAAACCCAGCGCTAGTCTTAATTTCTCTCTCTCTCTTTTTTTAACTCTAAACTAAAATCCATACATCTTTTTGCGCTTACTACTGAATAATTCCCCATGGTAGAATTCGACATCAAAATATTAAAATTACATATTAACATTATGCAGATGAAATCCACTGAATTTACTGCATGTAATTTGTGCTACATCCAAGAATTTCTGTTGAACTAATAATAATAAACTGTTGAAACTAAGCATGCAGTTCATACGTATGATTTCATTTTCTATTCTGACAGATGACAGAGATGGAGTAGAAAACAAGCCTTCCTTATTCTAAATCTGTAAACTACATATATAAAGCCTTCCAATATGTGTAAGTATATATCGCTTTAATTAATTTAAACTAACACTCCGAAGATGGAAAAAAAAAATTACTTTAGCTGCATTTCCGTCTGCAGCTGAAGAAGTGGGTTCGATTAATCTTCGAAACTACGGTCCTGAAAATTTGCGCAACTTACGCTTATCTTTGCTGTTATAATATCTTTAACATATATTGCTTTTTAATACATATTATTCATTTATATTCATATATTACTGTGTAATGAAAAATATTGTATAGCATTAAATGAGTTAAAGTTTATTTGAAAACTTAAAATAATGAAAACGTGCTTATAAAAAAGAGCGGCTTAAATGTTCAGATTTTAGATTTTGAAATTTACATTTTCGAATGCATAAAAGTCCCAATGACGGGTTACATTTTATGGAACCTTACTATAAACGAACGCTAGCATTATTTATTAAAAAAATTTGCTTTCATTCAAAACAAAACTGAACTAAAATTGTATCAAAATACAAAGCAGTTAGTACAAAGGTTCTTATGACAACGGAAGAGTTTTAAACTATTTTTCAAATGTTTTATACATAAATCTTATTTTCAAGTTTACAAATGTTCTTCGAAATTGTTGAGTTAAAAATTATACAGAAACTATTAGAATTACTTCTTAACAGAATTTATATTCATTTGTGTCGTATTTTAGAAGTTCCCTCAACCATGTCTACGAAATTGAGAGAAATTTAGTACTTGACGTTTGCAAAGTAAACGTATTAGAGATGGAATTGAAGTTTGTTAAACCACAACTCAGACGACCAATGAATTTGGTAAAATATAATTAGATTGCCTTTTTGTCAAATCGAAATTTTAATCATTTTTAAAACATATCTTTAAATTAGTATTTATGATTTTGTAATTTTTAATTCATACGAAGTGCACGGATTTCGAACACCGAATGTACGAAATGTGGAAAATGTGACTCACATTCTAGTCTAAAAGCAGTCACAATATATGGGCACACAAAACCCAAAACAACTTTGAGAAACATGCAACAGGGAGCAATTTTAAATTTCAGATATTATTTAAAGTCGCATTCCGGGTTCAGTTTCAGTTTGAACAAACCTCTAAGGACATTAGACTTCCTCACCGTACATGATTAGGCAAGTATCTCGGGAGAGGAAAATCGACCAATCATAGATTGATAAATATTTTTTTCTCCGAAGATAGATTATTCATTTCTATGAGAAGAAAACCCAGCAATTAAATTTGAAGGAAAAACGTATAAATCATCTCTACCGCTCTCCTGCAGATACCTGGAACGGGCGGGTGAGGTTAGAAGACGGGGAGGGTAAGCGAGTACACATAGCCAGAGAAGGAAACGAAAATTTCGATACAACGAAGTACCTAATTACTCCTAGATATGTTTATGTGTGGCTTAGTAGAGAGATGTATTTAGAGAAAAGTTCTTCAGATGATAAGCCAGATTAAAAAGAATCATGAAGTACTGTCTTTGATGTAAGTCTCATATCTCGTTCTCTTTTTATGCTCATGTTCTCTTACAGGCCCTTTTTTGTTTTATGTTTCTTAGACAAGGATTAAGTAATATGCAGCAACCGTGACCTTTAATGAACAAATAATACAGTCAGGGCAGGACGTACAAACGTATGGAAACAGTGAACTCGCAATCTATTATATGGTGAAAACGTATATTATATGGTATATTCCCCTCCCCCCCATATATTAGTGTAGTGCCGATGCACTTAGAATTATAATAAAACAACCTTTAAAGCATTAATGATGGAAGGGAAATGAGCTTATCTCTTCTCAAAATACGGAAAGAAAGTTTCAAATATCTTTAATTTTCAAATGAAAATTAGAAATTTTGGACGTTCTTTTGTGAATTTTTTTTTCTATCTGCTTTGATTTCTGTTAAGATATAGCTTCTCTTTATCCTTCTCTCTTACAGAACAAGTTTACCCACAAAAGTGATAAATACTTATGAAATGAGAAAATTAAAGTAAAATGAGGCAAAACAGAGTTATTAAAAATCTGAGCATCAAAGAATATGATATATTAAGAATTTAAAGTAATTTTCTCCCTCCCGCCGGCATGCCTTCGAGGTGTAACGGTTAGCACACTCGACGCGTATTCGAGAGGTCCAGGTTTGAGTCTTGGAGAAGTCATTGCTCATTTTTCATGTCTCCAGCTGCAAAATAACCTAATGACTCTATAAATCATGCTACTTTACAAAAATATTTAAAATATTTTATGTAAATACATCCTATATAATTAAAAAACGATTAAAAGCAAATTAAAAGTGAATTAGCTTCACATGCTCTTGCATTTATTTTGTTATGCACTCACACAGAGAAACACTGTGAATCATTCTGAAAAGGATTAAAGCGCATTATTTCCGTCAACTGCCCTAACTCGAAATGTTTCATAAATGCAAATAAATAAAACAAAGAAGTGACGAAATATCGTTGTTTTACATGAAGTTATGTAAGCAAGTAATACTCAATATTTCAAAGCTATGCCAAGATTTTATCAAATTTTGAATGACTGACAAATAACTGATTTCTGACAAACCTTACATATGGTAGACAAACGCATGATTCGGTTATACATTTGAAAATACCGAACATCCCTTATTTTATATTCAGTTATAGCTATTTTCATAGGTAACATTTCGTACAGTTAAAGAAACAACATACGCAAGTAAATTTTTAATTTAAAATAATCAAAGTCCGAAAGATAAAGCAAATAATATATCGTAAGCACCATAGAAATGCTACGCCACCATTTAAGTCTCGATAATATTTTACGTTCTGTGGAAGGAACGCCGACGTTGAGAGGTTTCAACGACAGTAACTTAGTCCCTCAGCCATTCCAACGAACTGTCACTTAAAAAACCCTATTCTTCGGTTAAAGCATTTGTATTTTTGTGAGCAATAAATGAATAAATGCAGTCCACAGGAAAACAAAGAAAATCAAGCAGTCGCAGTTTCTGCGGCACAGTTACAGTGTAGAAAAGGAAAAACACAGTATGCGCCGTTAAATCTGACTTCAGCTTTAAATGGATGTCTCTCTCGGGTCTACTAAAAGTAACGACCTGAGTACAAAGGAAATCACAAAAGCGCATAATTTGCCGAGAGTTCAGTTGCTATGAAGTATGGTACCCGAATGAGGCTTAAGAAAATGCGGAGCACTTTTCAGAACTTCAAGTACCTACTTTCAGTTTATGTATTTTATTTCAAAAAAAATTTTTTTTCCTTCTCTCATCGCTTTTGCTTCATCGCAGTTCGAGAGGAATGTTTTTTGGTTGTTTCTTGGAATTTGGTCTTCAGCTTGTAATTATTCTACCCAGGTCTCTTCCAAGAATTGTTTTCCCTTTCTCCTCCCCCAAACGCAATGATGCATTTTTCGTTTTTCTTCTCCAAACATCACCGCCCGCAAACTATATTAAGCCGAATGAAAAACGGAACGTTTTAAAGAACTAAACATTCGATTGCTTATTGCGGTGTTTCTTAAGAAAAAAGGAAATCTAAATCTTCTTCTTGTTGCGAATAATTGTTTAATCTGATATAGAAAAAACAATTATTCGCAACAAGAAGAAAGGTAAAAAAAAACACTTGTGTAAAGTCCATAGCAGGATAATATTAAGTCGTGAAGAACAATTAAAATTCCACATCTTATTTTCAAGACCACTGATTTATAAGTCATAAAATTAAGGTTCCGTCATAGAAAAACATGATTCCTATTATTTTGTATTAAAACGCACTAGAACAGATATGTTATATTAGTAATTACAATAATAAATCATCATTGCATTGATATTTTCGTTTCACACCCGGGGCTCACTAGATGATGGTAAGAATTAACCCAATACGATTCTTATAGCTTATAAGAAGAGTATCTTGGGATACCCAGAATTCGTTTGTTTTGCTTAAAAACTCAGTAACGGTTAAATACTAACTCCTAAATCCTACAATTAATTTTAATTATTAATACGTGTTACTTAAAAGTTTCAGAATTAGAGAATATCCTTCGGTCATTGACAACTACCAGTGTTGATTCGGAACAGATGGTCAAAGAACAAATGGAAAACCAAGTCCATAAACATAAAGAAATTTAAAGACGTGATAGTAGCCTGGTTTGAAGATCTCGTAACAAAATATAACAGTTGTAACAGAGCAGAAGACATCGACGCAATGCACGAAAATCTTATGCAAACATTGCTCACAGTACGCAAAATTATGCCGCCCCGAAACGCATTCCATGGTGAAACTGCACACTGGCAGATGAACGCCGCAAAGTTCGCAACATAAGGTGAAGAAAGCAAGGTTGTAAATGATCCCCCAAAGAGTGGCACTCTCGCTAATATTTCGAAAACACAGTGCTGCTTGCAGATACAGCTTGAAGCAAAGCCGACCCCCGTACATCCATCTAGGCATATTACGTATCCCTAAATCCTCCTAAAACTACTAACATTCCGCCCAAATTAAATTCAGAGTAAGGGCATCCAGGGGGGGTACGAGAGTCTCCCACTCCTCTTCCCATACCACCAGCTTCCCGAAAGGATTTCTGTTGGCCGGGTATCTTGAGTCCCCCCTTGTTGCACGAAAGCTATATGATTACAACATCCATGCCTTCTCCGGGATACGAAGCCTGAGTCTTCAGCACTGAAACTAGCAACACCGTCTGAGTGGCGGCACTGCTTACAAGAGACAAATTGCAAAATCGAACTTGCATTCTGGAGAAAGTGCTCACGAATACTGCCAACAAGTTTGAAATTGTATTCCTTATCGAACATGGTTATGTTGTTTACACAAATAAAGCCTTCGAGAACAATAATCCGTGTTGAATCTACCAGCCCACAAGTTATCACGCACGTTAAGGACAGTATTTTCAGATCTGATAACAGACATGAATATTATACACATCATGTGTTGCTCTTTGTCTACTTAACTGCGTTTTGGCACAACAGGCATTTCTCAGACGGCACTAAATGTGCTGAAGTGGTGCTGTTATTAAAAGTGAAGGTGGTGGCGGCCTGTTGCCTCATTTGCCTCCTGCCTGCTTTGCGAAATGTCCAAGAGAAAGTTGCTTTTCAAAGTCTAAAACCCTATATCCTCTCTGGACAAAATATAACTGAAAAGCAATGGGATTTCTTTCCTGGAGTTCGATGGATCATGCAATGCAATATTTACGCAAAATAATAGTAAATAACTCACAAAATAATCAGCACAGTTTTAGTACATCAGTAGACATACAAAATGCCTTCAGACGTGCTCATCAGATTATCACATTGCTGGATTTGGGGTGACGGAAAGCCCTAGTTTATCTACTTATTTAAATAATCGTCACCTGCAAGCTGTAATGGATGCGGGTGTTCGCTGACGATCTACGAATGCAGACTGTCTCAAAGGATTTTACTTGGGTCTGCTGCTATGGAATCTAGCAACGGAAAAATTCTGAATTTCTTTAATTTTATCCTCACACTCTTTCTTACGCCGACGAATTTTGCTTGTTACTAAGAGGCACAAAGCTGATATGAGACAAGGAATCTATGGATAAGATTACATAAGGGTGAATTGCAATAAAATAATTATTGCCAACTCAAAAACCCATGATATGCTTATCTGCGGAGGGAAGCACCATCTACGAACACCCTGAATTAACCATTCCGGGCAGAAATGTAAAAATAGTAAAAAAATGAGATACCCATGAATCATAATTGACGACACTCCTTCGTGGACCCATCTTCTAAAGGAGGTCAAGGACAAATTCACAGGTTATTCCACTCGGACAACAGGTTAGTTTGGGATGTGTTCTTTTAGGGTGCTTAGTATGTCATATACTGTTGCTGCAGCGTGCATTTCACTGTATGGGACCTTCATGTGGGGCATAACTATCACTACTAAAATCGAAAATCTGCTACTCTCATAAAAATTCCATTTTTGGTAGGCAGTTGCAAGGTTACAAAACTTCGCCTACAAATACTTTTAACGAGCTAGTGCAGCTCGAGAAACAAGAAGTTTGCGGGATAAAACTTGCGTATATGCTGATTATGAACAAAGTATTCCTGAGCCACCCTTCTTCTCTACCTGGCTGAATTCAATATCTAGATCAACTGTAATTACCGGCATGGTTCAAAACACCTCGGAATTTACACTGATGAATCAAAAGAAAAGTGTGACACTGGCAGTGAGCAACATCGAAGCCAGATCATTATGACCTGGGAAAGAAAGGTTTGGCGGCCCAAATCAGTCTTATAGGCTAAGTTGGTTGCATTAAAATCTGCATTTGCGAATGCATTGGCCATATATCTCACCATATATACTGACTCCGCCTCTAGCCTTCAGGCAATCCAAGACACAAACTGCAAATCCTACTCGTCAGAGAACAAGAAAAATCTTAATTTGCACACCAGACAATTTTTAGGCTCAAGCTCAAGTGGAATCCAGTTGTTCACACTAGAATAGTGGATAATGAAACCGTAGATGCAATAGCTAAGAGAGCAGCAACCGAGCCGCACGTAAGTACACATCCATATGCCCTTCTAGATCCACTCCTCGGTCCTTAAACTCTGAGCTCAAAAGAGTATGAAACGTTGGCAGCATCTATCGGGAATAGAGATTACTGGTGAAAAAAATCTAAGCTTTTTTTATATATAAGAGTAACTCAGCTTATAATTGTCTCTTTCATGTTACTCAGTTTCTAATAGGCCATGGACATTTCATGACTTATCTGCATCGTCTTAGACAGATACAGGTACGTCTAAAAGTAAGGAAAACACCAGACCGTCTGCATAAATCGCCATATATTCTTTTCACTTCCTTCTTCCTCTTTCTATTCCACTAGCCTTCTTTGAAAGCTTCTATAAGAATAGGTAACGTGAAAACGACCAATGCGGGGTCTCAAGAGGGGCCGGCGACTATGTGTTGAATTGCAGAGAGATTGCAAAACATCACCTTCGCTAGCCACCAGCACAGCATATTCGTGTATAGGTTGGAGATTCTTTTGAAAATTGCCCAGCCCTGAAACGCATGCGCGATTGCATCGTTCTTGCACATACATATCAAGCAGGCTGGAGCAACACTCATCTGCCCCAGATATCGCCAGCACAGCTTCTATATATCCTGCACTTGCGTTAACTGCATCGTGCGTTCTAACTTAAAAAAAGTTAATTTTTTTTAAAATTGTGTCATGTATTCTAATTTAATTTTAAATAATTCCATTTTGCTTATTTTATATATCATTTAATTTTTGTGTCAGTAACTGCTTAAATTGTATATTGCGACAATTAGCGTACAATTATCAATGTTTTGACTTTGATTTCAATTTTGCTAATCATATCCATGTAACTCAGTCATACATTTACCCATATTGTAGGTATATGGAGAGCTTAACAGTCGCTCATGTTCCCGGAAGCTCCAGTATTTCACTAGTCCATATCTAGCTCCAGTGCTTATCACGCATTCTATCAGGGACAGTTCAGTAAAATGTGGAACCCGTATTTTCCTCGCACCCTTCACAATCCTTAAACTATTCGCTCGTTCGACAATCATACCCCTTTCCCAACAACTTTTGAAAAGGATTGAAACACATTAGTTTATATGTCATTTTACCGAAGACTGCACTTGGGAGCCTTCATTCCAGGAAATTATGAAACAACGATACTTCCATCTGCGGTATTACCTGGCAGATATGCTAACTTTCCCAGAAAATCGGATGCCCCAGTGCCGTATAGAAACGTATACTAGAAGGTAACGTATAGAAAATTTTAACATATGCAAACTAACGCATGTTTTTCTCTTCTTTTTTATCTTATGCTTTAAAATCAAGAAACATTTTTAATTTTAAATTAAAGAATTGTGTGAAAAAAATTTCAAATTAAGTGAATATATGTATATATGTGTGTGAATTAATACAGTTCTACTTTTATTTCTATATTTCTTAAGTCACTTAATTTTCTGCAAAGTATGTAATTAATTAAGAAAAGTAATTACGAAAGTAGTTTTTGACATTACGAATGCTTTGGTGGAATACGTGGAATTTATTTCAATTTCAATGTTATTGAAAGAACAAAACATTTTATTACCAGATATTCAGTTATCGGCTCAAAGATAACCATTAATGACAGCATTTCAAATAAAATAGTTATTAGCTGTCTTTTAAACTTATTTAATATGTAATTATAGTATTTCTCAGCAAAATGTGATTATTTTTTCAAAGGAATTTTACCTTCATATACTATTCTATACTTTTTTATGTAGTTAAATCACAAACTATATTAAAAATCAGAATGCGGAGAAACCTAAAATTTTAATTAACTATACTTATGTTTAAAATAGGCTATTTTAAACGTATAAAATTTATATTAAGAATGCAGTCTTTTTTTGTTTGACTTTTTTAGCCATTAAAACATTATTAACATTTTATATGTAAGTATACAAAGGAATGGGCCAAGGAATCTAATTATTTTCTGTTTCAAACTACTCGTAGTACATTGTAAAAAAACTCAGACATTTATTCATTTACAGTATCATTTATAATAGCGACATTATTATCTTTCGCTTCTTAATTTTTGAATGTAATAGATACACATAAAATAAAAGAAACTTCGTAAAATTCAATAACCATATTACTTTTTTTTTCCGAAACGGGGGGGAATTAATACTGAAGAGTAGAAACAGAATCAAAACTGAGTAAAATAGAGCAAAACGAAGAATTAATTTTTTAAATCAGAAGAAGATAGTATTTGATAAAATGAATTTATCTCTATATAGTCAGCAGAAATTTTAACAAATACTTTCTTCTCCTGCTTTATAAAAACCAAGCTTAAATTTGCATACTCTGCTTTATCTTATTCCAGTTTTATGTGTCTTAAAATGTCGGTTCTAATTCTATACTTTGGATTTAAATGTCTAATTACTATATCTCTTTATATTTAATACAAAAATTATAGTGTAATGCGAAAATCATGTTGTTTTGTTTTATCTGATTATGGCAAAGCACGCGAGGGCCAGCTGCTTAAGAGGAGAAATGACTTCTTGGAGGACGTTCTAGGAGAAACTGGCTCGTATGTACGTTATGCACGGGGAAAATTATAAAAATTCTCATTCAGCTAGCCCGTTCGCCTGAAATCGAAGCCAGGACAACTACCAGTTTTCAGCAATTTTACCGCTAGACCGAACGTTATGTTATCGGCTAAATTTTAATTTTTGTGCTTCCTGTTCTGGTTTCTGTTACACTAGTTCACCCAATCCAAACTTTCAGGCAAATTTTAATGTCGCTAGCATTGTGCTTATTCAGCCTTAACGTATAACAGGAAATTAGGATTTAACAGTGTTCTTTTTTTTTTTTTCGTCAGTGAAAAGTTCACCATTGAAATTTCCCATTTATGGAGTCAGCGACGCGAAATTTTCAAATGTTGTTGATAGAAACTTGAATTCCAGTAGTTAGAGATATACTACTTACATGCATTTAATCGATTATTAGAAATCTAAATTATTTATTAACAGCTGAGAAGCACTAGTTGTTTATCTGAGTCCGCAGGTTAGCGGTTGTACTTTAATTTATTTGAAGTAACCTCCCCCCAAACAAAAACTACAAATAGATGCCAATAAAATTTATTCGCTATTTATAGCGTGTGTTTTGTAAATCATTGTTATTTACTGGCTACACACTGAGTTTAGCTTAAGCTATAAGATATTTCTCCCCCCTTCTTAGCATGCTTTCGTAGTGTAGCGGTCAGCACGCTGGGCGCGTATTCCAGAGGTCAGTGGTTCGCTTCCGGCGAAGGCGTTGCTCATTTTTCACTCTTTCCTGTTTAAAAAAAATAACCGAATGTCTCTACAGTGGTGGCCGAATTAAAAGGGTGGTCGATGATGATTCTCCACACCCAGGATTTGGCGACTGGATCCCCTAAACCCCAGTCGCCCTTTAAAAGGGGGAGTATATAAGGTATTTCTCTCACCTTCTTAGCATGCTTTCATAGTGTAGTGGTCAGCACGCAGCGCGTATTCCAGAGATCCGTGGTTCGATTCCCGAGGAGGGCGTTGCTCATTTTTCATGCTTCCAAAAAAATCCTAATGACTCTACAAAGCTAGACCTCTGGGTTAATGGGTTAAGACAGTTTGGTGCAAGAATTTGAAATTAGTACTACATTAAGATTTAAAAAAAAAAAATTAAAAGCAGACTTTCGCCGTAAATTTTAAGTTAGAGCTACAAAATTAAAAGTAGAGTTTTACCAAAATTTTAAATAAGGGCTTAGAAACAAACAACTTAAAAGCAGAGTTTTACAACAATAGAAGTAAATTACTTTCATGAAAATGATGTTAACGTAGGGAAATACTATTTTGTTCTAAATAACTTTGCGTCAAATTGGATTTACATATACGGCAATAGAAATTAATTCGTTCATGCGTGCTAAGAGAAATAATTTAGAAGTGTTTCGTATTTCAATAAAGAAACTCAAAATTATATACTACAGAATATGAATGATATTATTAACATATTTTAAACATCTGCCGAGCTAAAAATACTTATATAATTTTGATACTTTTCTTTGTATTATAAAACAGTATCTGGGAAATTGCTTGCTTTGATTCCTTTCCTTCTTCAGTTTCCTAACTTACTGTTTGAACTTTCTCAGTAATTTGCGGCTATCTGCCTCATATTACGCTTACGTTTGTCTTTTAAGTTTTGGTTTTATCTTTCGTGATGCAGTTGCACTTGACATTTTACTCTTTGGAATTTCTTTGTTATCTGAGTAAGAACTAAATTTAATTTTTCTTTCAATTGAGTCTGAAAACAGTTTATACCAATGAAAGGAAAATATGCATGCCAATTTGATCTCTGAAATACGTTTCTCTAAATTCGAAAAACAAGTCTTAACCTACAATGCTTTACGGGATTCACAGATAAATTAAGTAGAAGCTTCGAGGATGACTGTGAAAACTGAAAGTTATAACTACTTTCAGAAGGTAAATTACATAGTGCTGATAGAAAAGTTTGATCTTCAGAAAAGCAATGCCAGTTATTTCCTAATTACAGCATTTTCTTGAATATGAATATTTCTAAAATTTGCTTTTATTGACATTTTTACAATATAAAAAATCTGATGTGGATTCCATATGACTTTCTTGTACAGCCTATTAAATTATGCATATTTTTGCTGTATTTTATTTTAACTTACTTCCCCGAATTTCATTTAAGATATATTTCTCATTGAATCAATTCAGTTCTTACTTCGCGTCAAGGCAAAAAGACATAAAACTCAAAACATCTTCATTAAAAATTGTAAAATACAGAAAAACCTTAAACATCAAGCACAGTTAAAAACCACTAAAAAAATTTTACAATTAAAGTTAGGGTTTAAACCAACTAAAATTGAGCAGAAATACAGATTTTTTGGTGCACAAAATGTTGGACATCACTCCGCAAAAAGCACTGAATTTGATGCAGAAACTGACTTAATTTACTATGCTACTAAGTTCCAAATGGAAACAAATGGTGGCATCATTAGGCTTAGTGGAACTTAAACAACTTTTAAATTGTTGGTAATTCTACAACTATTGCATGCAGATTAACTAAAGGCATAAAAACCTTAAGCGTAACATGAGAACAATATAATTCAATCACTTTTAAAGCAAAATATGCACAATTTACCAACATTTAAGAATTAAAAAACTTAACTCACAAAGCCGAGTAACAGAGTGGGTATATATATATATAAAACTTTAAGGGCGGCCGATTGCAACCAAAAGGGGAGGTGCACATCTACATATTATAGCAGTGCCATATTCACTCTGAGGCTACGTCACGAAAAAAAATTCTCTTCTGAATACATCTTAAATCCATTTCACAACCGTTTGGATGAAATGAGTGCTTTATTCTGTCCGTACGTACAGATGTAATGCAAAAACACCGTTCAAGTGGAATCGAGAGCGGTCAAAATGTATTTTTTCCTCAAAATAAGATACACGAAATGTTTCACGATTACAATACTTATTTTGTAAATAAAAACAGAATTTATAAAGGGATGTGTTTAAGTTATGACATATTTGCTAAATAGATAATAACTTTTTATCTCCTAAAGGTAAGTAGTCTTGTGATGTGTCATAGCCAGTCAACAAATTTATAAATATTTTTTCCCCTCTATCTGATTTAAATAACTTTTTGATATACTTTATATTATGTTATTCCATTTGGTTTAGGATGCTGATATTACTGATTACATAAATACTCTCTCTCTGTATATATAGAGAGATATTTTTAATATCTGCAAATTTAGTTTATTTATTTTAATCAAAATCAGCGTATTAGTCATGAAATGGATTTGGGGTAATAACATATATTACTTATTCAATCAGAACCAAGCATTAAAGCAGTTAGCCGTACATTAAAACTAAGGAGCACGAACGAATAGTTCTCCCCGGGATTAAATCGGGACGAATGCACTGGCTGCATGGGAGTTTTCTTGGTTTTCCTAATGTGCAAAGTGGATATAACCAAGTTTCCCATAGAAAGCCTTCCATAAATGCATTCTTTTCCTTAGCAGATAGCCCTTATGTTGCCATAATCTAAAACAATGCTACTCTAGCAAAAAGACCTCCAGTATACTTCCAGTTCCATCTCCTACTCAGATACTTCTTTTAAATTAATTCAATGGTAGAGGTTAGTAAATATATAGCATAAATTTACGTTATTAAGATGACACTCAGGTCATTTGAAAGCAATTCCTCTTATTAAAACGTGAAAG